TCCAAAAAAATCCACGGAATGGGAGATTTTTCCAATCCCATAATTCCTTGGATGTTCCATGGGGTTTGAAACTTCAGGAGGTCCCGAGATATCATAAAAAATTCCAGAAAATGGCGGGGTTCCATCCCATAAATCTTTGGGTGTTCCYGGGAATGTGGAAGGTGCCGGAGGTGCTGGGAGAGCCCGAAATTTCGGGGGAACTGGGGAGCTCCATCCCATAAATCCTTGGATATTCCCAGGAATTTGAAATGTCAGGAGGTGCCGGGATATCCCGAAAATCCCAGGGAATGGGGGCTTTTTCCAATCCCACAAATCCTCAAATATTCCCATGGATTTGGAGTCACAGGAAGTGCCACGATCCCAAAAATCCCAGGGAATGGGGATTTTTCCAATCCCACAAATCCTTGGATATTCCMWGGGRTTTGAAGTCACAGGAGGTGCCACAATCCCAAAAAAACAACAGGGAATGGGGAATTTTTCCCATCCCACAAATCCTTCGATATTCCATGGGGTTTGAAGCCACAGGAAGTGCCACGATCCCAAAAATCCCAAGGAACGGGGTTTTCCCCCTCCTCCGGATCCCAGAGTTCGGCCATTCCCGGGGTTTTTTCCAGGCGATTTTCCGGGTTTTTCCAGGCGATTTTCCTGGATGATCTCGGAGAGAACCTGAAGCCGGCGCGGGATCTGGGAATGGCCACGATCCTGGTCCGCGATCCCGACTCAGCGCTCCGCCAGCTCCAGGAGCTCTCCGGTGTCCAGGTACGGAATTCCCGCCTGGAATTCCCAATTTCCCATCCGTTCCCGGCCTTTGCAGCGATTCCGACGGAATTCGTCCCTTCACGCGGGGAAAAAACGGGAATTACGAGCTCAAAACGAGCTGGAATTCCGCGATTCCGTGAGGATTCACGGAGAGTTGGGAGGGGTTGGGATTTCCTATGGAATTCCGGGAATTCTGGATGATTCCGTGCTCCTCATCCCGCAGCTCCTGGGCGTGGAGGAGCCACTGCCGGAGCCATGTGATCCCTCCCAGGTCACGCACGGATACGTCACCATCCGGGTACGGAATTCCGGGAATCAGGGGTTGGAAGCTGCAGGAGGTGGCAAAAAAAATCCCCCCAAAAAATCAGGGAATGGGGGATTTTTCCATCTCAAAAATCGTTGGATGTTCCATGGGGTTGGAAGCTGCAGGAGGTGGCAAAAAAATAAAAAAAAACAAAATCAGGGAATGGGGATTTTTCCAGGCTCCCAAATCCTTGGATATTCAATGGGGTTTGAAGCTGCAGGAGGTGGCAAAACATCCCAAAAATTCCAGGGATTGGGAGATTTTTCCATCCCACAAATCCTTGGATGTTCCATAGGATTTGAAGCTGCAGGAGATGCCAAATTCCCAAAATTCCAGGGATTGGAGGATTTTTCCATCCCACAAATCCTTGGATGTTCCATAGGATTTGAAGCTGCAGGAGATGCCAAAACATTCCCAAAAAACAGGGAATGGAGATTTTTCCAGGCTCCTAAACCCTTGGRTATTCCATGGGGTTTGAAGCTGCAGGAAGTGCCAAAACATCCCAAAAAAAAATTCCAGGGAATGGGGGATTTTTCCAGCCCCACAAATCCTTGAATATTCCCAGGGATTTGAA